GTATATAGTTGAAGTGTTTGTATATAGTTGAAGTGTTTGTATATGGTTGAAGTGATTGTATATGGTTGAAGTGATTGTATATGGTTGAAGTGTTTGTATATAGTTAGTGTTTGTATATAGTTGAAGTGTTTGTATATAGTTTAAGTGTTTGTATATAGTTGAAGTGTCTGTATATGGTTGAAGAGTTTGTATATGGTTGAAGTGTTTGTATATAGCTGAAGTGTTTGTATATAGTTGAAGTGTTTGTATATGGTTGAAGTGATTGTATATGGTTGAAGTGTTTGTATATGACTGATGTGTTGTAATGTTTGTATAAGGCTGAAGTGTTTGTATGGGGATCTGTACTACTGTGTTGGTTATGTTGTCTGTCTCGTTTATTTGCGGTGACTGTATGTCTAGCTAGTTATTGTTTAATAGTGCTATGCTCGCCTCACCTGTTGTGATCTGATATGTTCTATCTCTTATCTCTATCCCAACATCTCTCGATCGCATTACGATGCCTTCGTACAACAATACAATTCATTCACACGCAGTGTGTTGTCTTAGTCATCTCTCGTGTGGAGTTATAGTGTTGACTGAGTCTTCTCCCGTGGTCTACTCTTGTCTGAGTCTTCTCTGTTCCGATATCGGCTGCTGTGCCCCTGACTGCCATGGCTCACACGTTGCTTGTCTGGCATGCTACTTGCGTCGGATGAGTGACTTGTTTTACACTTGCACCTGAACTATGTACCTCAGCCCTGTGGCTATTACTCTGGGGTTTCCTATTTATTTTATTTGTTTTATAAATCAGGTCAAGGATGCTCTTAACGTGGACGATTCGATGATTGGTTACTTCTATTCACTCTATGTGTATCATACACTCGTCATCTATTGATAAATTGTAAAACTAAATATCATTATCTTATAATTTATTGATAGATAGTAAAACTAAATACCATTTTCTTATCTCTGATTGAATATACACAATATCGCTCCTTGTTATTTATTGATAGATGGTGACACTGATTCGGAATCTGAAGCCGTTTGAGATACCGTTAGCAACATTTGTGAAAGAGATCTCCAATGTAATGGCAAGCAGCGCTACAGGTAACATTCATCCTCTTTGTGTGCGGCTCTCACGCACCACCGTGAGTTGAACTGACATCAGGCACTCTCCCCGTTGCAATTGATATGCAGGCTGGTTAGAAAGGGTGTGGTTGTGTAATTGCTGAACCTGTGTTTGGTCATTTGCAAGGGATTGTTGATGTCTAGAGTTGGTCTTTGTTGTGAGCACATCTCTTGTATACTGTCACACGGTTTTTAACCGAAATGTGTATACAGTCACACGGTTTGTTAATGGAATGACGACTATCCGCCATTGAAGACCTGATGCTCGGTCCATTCATCTCTTTTGTACACGATGGATTTGGCAATCGGTTTAGTCAGCGGTGTGTGCCAACTAAAGACTTTCACGCACGTCCTATTGCGTAGAGTTTAGTCGTGTGGCCCACCCACCTCAGTCAGCTGTGTGAGTTGTCGGCCTAAACAGAGTCCGCTTTGGATATGCAACTACGTTGTACCGTGCTCTATGGTGCATATGTATCAGAGCACTCATTACACATACACATATAAATATATGCACTTTACATGTACATGTACTACAAGTATATGTACATGTACCAGTACAGACATATAATTACTATATATATGCCCACGGGAGTTTACCATATGTCTTCACGCTCTATAGCCCTAAACCTTAAACCCTAGAATCAGAGCGGTTCACCTACTAACGCCGTCATGTACTGCACGCTTCAATCGCCCCAGTCCAACCCAGTCCAAGCGCCGCAGGTGGAGAGCAAGAGATCTTAGTACAAGGCAACGCCTCTACGCAGGTGGGTATCGGAGGGTTTATTTGTTATGGGGCATACGAGTAGGTCCCAGAAAAGCGTGTAGCTGTAGAATTGTATATACAAGTGCCTACTGAGAAATTGTCTTCACATGGCGTCGTATCAAAGGAACGGAGTGTAAAATACAACTATCAAGCGTGTGAACGCATATCATAAAACAAACATATACATACACATCATAAAACATATATATATATATAGACAACATGGAACAATCATATACATACATATCATACACAAACATGTACATACTCCCCATAAACGAACTCATACATACACATTATAAGCACACACAGATAGACATAAACATCATAAAACAAACACATGCATACACATCATAAGCAAGAATATATACATACACGTCACAAAACAAACACATACATACACATCATAAGCGAGAATATATACATACACGTCACAAAACAAACACACACATACACATCATAAGCGAGAATATATACATACACGTCACAAAACAAACACATACATATACATCATAACCGAGAATATATACATACATGTCACAAAACAAACACACATATACACATCATAAGCGAGAATATATACATACACGTCACAAAACAAACACATACATACACATCATAAGCGAATATATACATACACATCATATAACAAACACATACATACACATAATAAAATAAGCTTATACATGCACATCAAATCAGCTATGACTATACAGGAGACTGTCGCGTGTGTGTGGTGGTGAGTTTTTGATGGAGATGCGAAGCGATGTCTTCGCATTATATTTATATTGCGTCCTGTACACATTTTCTCTTGTTGATCGCAGGATCGAGATGCAGTGATCCTAGTTGGTCGGTTTTCTCATTCGCATGACTTCGTTTGATTTCCTTTTCTTTTCTTTTCTTTTATTTCCTCTTGTTTCTACTTTTATTTATGTTAGCTGGATTGTTTGTTCCACTACAACCTTTGCACCTTCAGTTTAATTTATCGCACCATAGACAGTACATTCGAGATCGAGCTCTTATACGCTTTTGTAACCGAGTATACTCCCCACGTGCTTGTATACGTTCCATACGCACCAAACCCCTTGAACCCTAAACCCTAAAACCTTAAAGCCACGATTTCTTTTATTGTGTTTTGGGTGCAGGCTGTCAAGTTGCTCTCCGAGAACTACGGGGTCGATAAAAAGGTATTTTGGAGCGCTTTCTTCCTCTCCCCAATTCTTATCTTATTCTGAAATCTAGTCTCTCCTCAATTCTTAACGTATTCTAAAATCTTTTGGTCACTTATTGCACTTGTGTACTCAAACACTTTCGATTCCAAACAAACTAGGCCATGCGGCGATAAAGGCTGCTTGTGTTTCCGGGCCTGTCGATGATTTAAGAATGTCTTGACTGCTGATTATATAATACACACACACACTTCTGATTATATATGATACACACACACTTCTAATTATATCATACGCACACACACACTTGCGGGTTATATCATACTTACACACACTACTAGTCAGACAAAACAAACACACATTGCGGATTGTAGCATACACACACATACTGCTGATTGTATCATACACACACATACTGCTGATTGTATCATGCATACACATACTGCTGATTATATCATACACACGCACACTACTTTTGACTGCTGTGATTATAGAAAGTTAGAAATCGACTGCGATTGCTCGTATTGGTCGCACAGTCTATGCCATGTTATACTCTACTTCTTGCCTATGCCCTGTTATGCTTTGTGCGCATGGAGCCATTCATCCATTGACATGTGTTGGAACTTCCTTTGGCAGCATGTGAGCATTGTGAATAAGTCCGGTGCCAAAGGCAAGAAGAAGAAATGAAGCGAACGAATAACACGTAGACCGTAGACGCTACAATACACGAGGCGACTAATATCAGACCCGCCAGAAATGCGCAAAGTAAATACAGTCACACCGTCAATGTCACTGGAATATTTACAACTCATTATACACTCAGTAGCCAAGTCATGTTACAAATGCTATCAGCTATTCGTATTCTGTATTAGGATATGTGTTTCTTTTTTGAATTATGATATGCTTTTGTTTTCTAAATAGGGATATGCCTGTACGTTCTGAATTGGGATATAACTTTTATTCTAAATTAGATGTACCTTTGTATCCTGAATTAAGATGTACTTTTGTATCAAGAAGTAGGATATACTTTTGTCCTGAATTAGGATCTACTTTTCTATTCTGAATTGAGATATACAGTTGTATTCTGAATTGAAACCTACTGTTGTATACTGAAATAGTATACTTTAGTACCTTCTGAATTGGTATACAGTTTTGTTTCTGAATTGGGATGTACTTTTGTATTCTGAATTGTGATGTACTTTTGTATTCTGAACTAGGATGTGCGTTTTTATTCTGAATCAGGATATACATTTGTATTCTGAATTGTGATGTACTTTTGTATTCTGAATTGAAATATACTTGGGTATTCTGTATCAGCGTACTTTATTATCCAATATTTTGATATATTTTCGATAACCCTTCCCTGCCTGTACTACGGCTGGCCGCTGCCGTCACAGACTGTCCGAGAACGTCTGTGGCATAAGCAGTGTGACTGTGTTGCCCATCCCCACGAACACCCACAATTGCACCACAGAAGTCAAGGCCATCAGAAGACACACTAGTACCATGCACGATGTCACATAACCGTTGATCTGTAACACGTTGATGGGTGGGGGTTGTGCTGTGTCTACCGATGTCTGCGGGGCGAATGCGTGTAGGATGCGTTAATCGTCGGATATGATTGGAAGATGTACGTGGTAGGATGAATTGATACCCATGGAAAGAGAGTGGACATACTGACATGACTTCCAAGAAATACGATGACTTTGGGTTCGAGCGCCGTTAGTATCAATGGTCTATTGTACGGTCTCTGCACCAGTGGAATGGTTTAGGGTTAAGGGTTTAACACATCCTATCGTGAATTTACATTCACAGAAATACACACACGCGCTGATATGATCGGGTAGTGCTCTTGGTTGTTGTGCTGGCCACTCATTCCGACTACAATCGAGATGTGTGCATGTCTGTGTTTGGTATGCGTACCTTCTTGTCGTTGAGCAGCATGTGTCTGGTGCGTGACCACTTCCGCCTGCGAACAAACGATCCGTTAGACGCATCCGACGCCCACACCTTATCCCAGAAACTAAACGCATACTATGAGAAAATAAACACATTAGGAATGTAAGTCGCCAATTAACGCCAGAGGGGACTATCCCGCAAACAGTGGGTGTCACTTAGCAACTAGACGCATACTAGGAGAAATGAGAAGACAGACGCAAAAAAAATGTAACTGTCTAGTTGACGCAAAGGACACAATCCCACAATATATATATATATATATATACATATATATATATATATATATATATATATATA